ACTGGTTTTACGGATTGAGACCAGGCCTCTCCTGATAACTTTGAGCGTTGAATGATGTTTTCCATGTGTCGCATTTTCATCAAGTACCTACGAACGTTCCTCTCGAGATGTCTTCGATGATTTCATCTTTGTTACCGTGCCTGAGTATTTGATGAATACTATCTTGTAGCAAAAAATAGGTAGTTCAGTTTCAATGCTGCTTGTTACGAGAAGAGGACAACAGACCTCCCTAGAAACCTCTGGAGAGTTAGAGTCGATCTTTTGTCACTGTGTCAGTCTTCGCCTTATGCGAAGAGTTGAGTAGATGACGCGCTAGAACCGTCATCGATGGATTTTCATGATATGCATGGGGTTGTTACCGTGAGTATTTGGAGTGAATCCTGCTGCTTACTAAAATAATGCTCGGTTTAGTTTGAAACGAGTTCTGTTAGGCGAGCGGATAGAACAAGAGGACCTCTGCGCTGAAATCTCTGAGTTTAAGAGTCTCTTCCATGTGTTCATTTTTCATCAAGTATAATCAACGTTCCATCAGATGTTCTTCATGTCAGATGTTTGTAGCCGATTCTGGAGTAGTAATCGGTTGATTAGAAGTAGCTACTGTCTTTTTAAATGGCAAATAGTGTGCGAGTTGCGATCTGTTTTATCGAGAGACCCGAAGCGAGGGACCTCCCCCTGAAGTGTAGCTTTCTGAGGTTTACTGTGATTGTTTTTGCATGGGAGCCTTGCTGTCATCAAAGCTATGTAGAGGAGAAAGCAGACAGACGTTGCATCAGGATTCTTCATAATTCATGTTGTATACCGGCAGGAATTCGTTGAGTGAATACCTCTTCTACAAATAGTGAGGGTTGCGAGTTTCATCTGTTTTTACGAGTAGAGAGACAACACTTATCGTCCTCTGTGCCACTTCAGCGTTAATGGAGCGCTTTGTCATGTCTCATATTGTCATCGAAGTAGTAACGCGAGGGCTGAACACTTCGTGTCATTGTTGTGTGTTCGACTGTTAGTTCGTGTCGGTGTGGCATTACAAATTGTATATATGTTTCCTGTAAGAAGCAAGAGCCTTCTTTTATATAATTGGAGTTATTGAGTTTTCTATGTTGTGATGTTTCGTTTATTAGTGTATTTGATTCTTCATGATTTCAGGTTACCCCGTCAAGTATTGGATGAACTCTTGTTTCACAAACAGAATCTGGTGTAATCTTCAACTGTTTACGAGAAAAACAGAGAGGACTCTGTCCTGATACTCTGTGGAGTTTAATCGAACCTTTTTCATATGTATTGATCTCTCATCAAGGTGACTAATACAGAGCAACGTTCATGGCAGTGTGCGCATGTTTCAGTGTACTCTGTACCGTCCAAAGTATTGAGTAAATAGAGCCTTCTTTGTACAAAAAAATCTGGTGTAATTTTCGTTTGAGTAAAAGCAAAGAGACCTCTACCTGAAACTTTGAGGGGGCCCGCCCGCGGGAGATTCTACATCGAAGCTTTATTCAGTATGTGTCTTTTTGATTCAAGTAGTAATACTCACGTTGCATCAGAGTTCTTCATGATTCCATTCGTGTTGTACCGTCTGAGTATTTGGAGTGAATACCTTCCTTTAACGAAAAATAGGGTGCATGTTGTAAAATCTGTTTTACGAGGAAGCACGCAAGAGGGACGCGCTCCTCTTAATAATAACGTAAGAGGTTTTTCATGGTTCGAGGCATTATGTCCATCATAGTATCATGTGCAAACACGTTGTTCAAATACTTGTCGTTCTATTGCAATGATGTTAATTAAGAGTAGTTTGATATGCTCTACAGAGGGACGAAGGGGAGGTTGTGTTGGCTGTTTCCTATTATCTTGACTTGGTGTCACGGCTGAGGGGAAGCATGAAACTTTGAGGTCGGAAGTCTCCAACACAATTTAACGTAATGATCATTTGGACATTGATTACGCGCGTGAGTTTATGTCCGCCGACCAGAACTGGTGTCGGGTTTTCATTTCTGGTTCTCTGGAGGGGACTTTGAAACTCAAATTAGTCAAAAAGTACCTGCATACCTGCATACCTGCAGTCAAAACACAGATAATCATCAAAAAGCGTATTTATTCTCATTCTAGTATAATTTAATAAATATTATGATTTCCAGTTTCATTTTTCTTGGAAATTATTTTTATCTTAATCCGGTCGCTCTGCTCCAATAACACAAATCCTTCACAGCAGACGATAAAACCTTCATCAATAAACATTTTACAGTTTCAGTATTATTTTAATCTCAGTCTTGATGATGGTGTGTGTGCACTCTGAAACACAAAGCTCTTCTTGCCCATTTTACCAAAGAAGGGGAAGAAATGGATAAATAGAAAGAAGTAGGTTGTTAATTGCCATATAAACAGTCAAAGTACTGTATGTACCATATGTTTTGTAATTTTGAAAGACTCCAAGTTTACCTAAACAACTGTATTATTGGCAGACATAACGAAAAATAAGACTAGATTTCCATTTTGATCTTGCCTGTAAAAAACATTTTAAATATGGTTTCAATGTTAAAGATTAAACAT